ATGTTTTTGTATTAGCTGAGTCATGTTGTATGGAGCATGTTTTATTTTGGTTTGGTTTGTCTGTTTGTTTGTTTGTTTGTTTGGTGGTACTGAGGCTTGAACTCAGAGCCTCGTGTCTGCTAGGCTTGCTGGGCAGGTGCTCTACCACTTGAGTCACTCCATCAGCCCTTGAAGCTTGTCTTTATTTTCTGTATTTTTGATGCTCGGACATCTAGGGCCTTGTGGGTCCTGGAGGGATGGCCCCACAGGGTCTGCCAATTCCTGCAGACGTGAGGATTTTGGCCTATGAGCATGCCTTTCATACACAAACCACCCATCCAGAGCTCACAGCCCACATTTACTTTCTGAGCCACTATCCCCTGCCCTGCCTTAGTCACCCTGGAGTCAAGTCTAGACACCTAGTGGCAACTCCCATCCTCCATAACCTATGAAATTATTAATCCAGCCCATTTGCCCTGCCTCACCCTTTCCTTCCTGTGGAAACCACAATGAGGGCTCTTGCTCATGCCTTCCCCTAATTCTTAGCCCCACTCCCAGCCCTAGTACTTCCCTGGGCTGTTCTGTATGGCCTCCTCCTCCTTCATGACAGTCAGGCTTAGTCTGCATGTCCTGCCATCCGTGATTAAAACACATGGAGACCCAAAGTTTCAGACACTGCATCCAGGACCGTCCAGCCAACATCCTGCTCCTCTGTGCTTCTTCAGCAGACTCTGTGAGAACTGGTGGGCACACTGTCCACACTTCCCCTGAGCCTACTGTTGTCAGGCACTCACCCCCATCCCACTCCAGGCTGCCAAATTCAATGGTCAGTCCTCATCCTCGGCCACTTGGATCTCCTTCTTGACCCGCCCCCCTCCCGAACCACTTCTGCCTGTCCCTCAGTCCCTCTGCCCTGGTCTTCCTACCCACTGTGTTGTACATGGAAGGTTTGGAGCTCTGGCCTCAGCCTTGGGTCCTGGACTCACCACTCAAGTGTGGTCATACCCATGCCCATGGGGCCTCACATTCTATTCTCCAGTCCCAAATTCTAGGTTCGTGCAATCTACTGCTGGCCAGACATCCCCATTTCAATGCTGAAGTGAAGGTGCCAAAGCTGGGCTCCCACGCTGGCTACGCACACCTCAGCTCAGACGTCCAACTGAGGGCTTCTCCATGATAGTTCATATCCAGGACAGAGATCCTGTGCCAGAGCCACCAGGATTCACCTCACTCCCTGGTCAGTCCCCACCTGTCCTCTGCTGAGTCCCAGGATGCCCTGCTCCAGGGGCAGAGGAGGCCACTCAAAAGGAAGACCAGACTCAGGCCCTGCCCTTCTGTCAGCTCAGTCCTACCACTCTCTCCTCACTCACCCATGTAACTCACCTCACCAGCTCACACCTTGTCAAGTGACAAGCACCCGTGTCCCCAGCCTGCCCCACCCTCATTAGGTCTCCGTTAGGATCCTCTCCATGCTTCACAGGCCTCCTCTGACCACCACCCTCCCCAGCTGTGTCCCTCAGCATTCATGGCCACCTGGCCCATTATATGCGTTTGCTTATGGTGTTCGCTCCTTCCTCTCCCCTCCAGATTCACGCTTAGGGTCATCCTTTCTGTTCCCACCACCTCATACAGGCACTTCATGAATTCTGGCCAAATGCGTGAGTGAAGGAATGAGCTAAGCATGGTCAGGCAGGGAAAGAGAAGCCAGGGTGGGGTGGGGTTGGACACCTTCAGCACCCAAGACCATATGGGCAGTGACGACTCCAGACCCAGAGCTCCTCCTACAGGACAAAGCTTAGAGGCTATGTCACAGGAGAAGAGTTGGAAGGTTCTTCCAACAGAGGAGAAAACCTCAACTCATTATTCAGTGCCCAGTCTGGGGCTCTTGAGTATGTCAGTGAAAAAAAAAATCAAGACAATTCACAACGAGAAGGTGGGAAAAGATTTTATTAGACAAGATAAAGCAGCAAGCAATGGAGGAAAGGGAAACACAGGAAGAGGTTGGACCATGAGTCCTAGAAACACAATCTGTGGATCTTCCATTGGGGCTATTTATATTAGCCAAAGTAGGTTCCTCCAGATAAGTGGTTTGTGTTAGGCACCTGGTAGCTTTCAATCATTTTGCTGTTGCAATGTTTTGAAGTTATCAACCAAGCATGGAGACATTGACCTGGGGTCTTTGGCATGGATGCCTGGTTTTTATAATTTTTTTTTTTGCAGGACTGGAGTTTGAACTCAGGGCTTCACGCTTGCAAAATAGACACTCTACCACTTGAGCCACATCTCTAGTCTATCTTGCTCTGGTTATTTTGGAGATGGGTGTCTCAAGAGCTACTTGCCTGGAATGGCCTAGAACTGAAGTCCTCCTGATCTCAGCCTCCCAAATAGCTAAGATTACAGGCATGAGCCACAAGTGCCCAGCTTTCTACTATGTATTGTAACTAATGGGGAAGGTTGCTTGCAAAAGGAATGTTAGTGCTTTCTTCAAAGATTATTTAGGGGCTAGAGGTGTGGCTCAAGTAATAGAGAGCCTCTAGCAAGTAGTAAATGTGAGACCCTGAGTTCAAACCCTAGTACTACATAAAAAAAGATTATTTAGTACAATATTTCATTTTGCAGTCTTAGCTCCTAGTTCTGGTTTGCTTTGAGTCCCTATTCTAGCTTGCCTCAGCTACAGAATTGGTGCATGCATGAAGGCCCACAGGCAGGAGGCTGAGGACGTGCATGAGACCTCATGGCCACCGGCCAGGACCACCCTCCAGAGCATGGGAGGAAAAAGGCTATGGAGTTGAGAGAAACGCAGTAATGAGACAGATAGTGGTTCCCACCTGTCCTGGGGCATGGGGTGGGAGATGAGCACTTTGAGCATTACTAACCCTTGTCAAGTGCTGCCAAATGCCATTGAGAACATTAGTGTGATCCCTACTTCAGTTCTGTGAATGAGTAAATCGCCAGGGTGGGCATTCAGACCTCTGAATGGTAGCAGACAAGCCCTTCGCTTATGCCTGGCAGCCTGGAGTGTGTGAGGGGGAAGAGGAGGAGGTTGTCAGCCAAGCAGCTCCCTTCTCTGGGCTGGCCAGGTTACCTTCAAGGCAGAAGGCTGTTTTGGACATTTTACGATCACTCTGACAACCCTTCATCTACAAGTATTCCTGCAACCAAAGCCACGACTCCTACTCTAGGAGGCCTTGCTCCAGCAACAGTCACTCCAGACAAACTGCACCAACCTTAGAGGGCAACATCCCAGGCGAGACAAGCATCAGTGAACTGTAGGTGACCCTGTGGCTATTCTTACTCAAGACCCAGTACTGGACTGGAAATGTGGCAGCAACAGAGTGTCTGCTTTGCAAGCACAAAGCCATGAGTTCAAACCCCAATCCCACCAGAAAAAAAAAAAAGCAGCAGCAGTACTCCTCAGTAACTCAGCAAAAAGCCAGTGATTGGTGGAACTGAAAGCTGTGCTGTGACTGGTGCAAATACAATCCTTCATTTGCCTGCCACACCCATGCCACCCCTACTTCCTGGCTATATAACCAGGCTGGCTGTTCAACTCATTTTTCAAGTCAGCAGGAGGAACTCTCCTATATTGCCCCTAGGCAAAAAGGCTTCTCCAGAACAGTCTTTTCTTGCCTGCTAGTGATTTTTACCATAAATAACCAGCCTGAGCTGGTAACACAAAGTAGGAGCAGCAAGAGGCAGTGGCAACCCCACGAAGGTAGCAATAATGGCAAGAGGGTGGCTCCAGAGAGTGGGGAGTAAAGGCTACAGAAGATAAAGCAAGTGTGGAAAAGATGAAAGAAGGCAAAGAGTCAAAAGGCAAAAGGTTGAAGGTGGTGAGCGAGACTGCAGCCCCTGCTCACTGAAAGAGGTCCTGGGAGCTGCCAAGCCTTGGGTGCAGAGGGTTCCAACCACCTGAGCATCAAGTCCTGCAACACCCGCTGCTGTAACTGCTGAGGATCCTGACACTTAAGGGCAGGACTGTAACTGGCTGACAGTGACTGCCTTTGTCAACAGCTGTTGATCAGAGCTGAGGATTTTGCCAGCTGCCACGCGCTGAGGCCCTGGAGGTCAAAACCAGAACAGTAAGCCTCTAACCCAAGTACCTGGAGCCTGACGTCTCTTGTTCTCAGAACTTGGAACTATAAGCTCCTGAGTCTGTCAGTCTGTCTCATAAGCCTTTGGCACTTAAGGGCCCAGGATAGCCAACACTAAAACTATTCCTCTCCTGTTCTCAATTTCCACCCAAATAGAACAAGAAGATCCCAGCCAGCTTTTTGGCAACAGTGATCACCAAAGGTCCCCATGATTAAACAGGAGCCTACCATGCCCAACCAACTGAATTTCACTCCTAACAACAGCACCTAAACACTTTCTCAAACAAAGTGGGATGTCACAGGACAAGGGACACACCCTAGGATGTCCACACAGTGGTGCAGAGTCAGGAAGGCTGTGGTCCTGACCTGGCAGGCATTCCAACCAGCTTCATCCTACAGTCACACCACATGAAAGAGACCCTATGCCCCAAGGGCTAATGGGTTGGAACCAGACAAAACTACAGAACCCTGCATGAGATAACATAGGACTGCACATGATGTTGCAATACAAGAGTATCTTTAATTTTTCCTTACAATGTAATATTTGATATACTAGAAGAACAGATGTATTATATGCAAGTTATAAATAATAAAACCAAGGGCCACAAAACCATCTGCAGCAGAGAACTTTCCAGCCCATGTCCTCCTTGGTCCCACCCCATATCCTGTGGGTGAGGTTACTGTGTAAATTTTAGCCCCTTCCCTGCCAAATTGATGGTTGGGTTTTTAATTTTTTTCCCATGGTATTGGTATTGAACCCAGGGCTTGCTAGGCAAGCCCTCTACCAGAACCACATCCCCAGCCTTGGTTTATTATTATTTTTGTGGTACTGGGTCGTGAACTCCGGGCCTACACCTTGGGCCATTCCACCAGCCCTTTTTTGTGATGGGTTTTTTCAAGATAGGGTCTCACAAACTATTTGCCCAGGCTGCTTTCAAACCTCAGTCCTCCTGATCTCAACCTCCTGAGTAGCTAGGATTACAGGTGTGAGCCACAGGTGCCTGGCTATTATTTTTTAATGGCCTTATTATATGTCATACTCGGAGATATGGGCTTTTTGTTGTTGTTGTTGTTGTTCTTGAAGATCCTGAACTTTTTTACTCAGGATCACAGCATCCTTTGTTTCTCATAACCATAAAGCCCTTCTTTTTTGGTCACACACCATGGCCATTTCTGGCTCCTTCCTAAAGCCACAAACGCTGCTACTGGACTAACCATGCCAGGCCTCCATGCGCCTAAGCCTGATTCTCTATGGTAGCACTAAGGGACTCTCATTTGCAGGACACATGTCTTTCCAAAGTGGTTCTTCCAATCTACCTGCCATGACAAAGCCAACCTTCTGGGCACTGGGCAGTGTCTCAACATGCCTAACCAGCACGTATGACAGATGCCTTGTGTGCTGACTCCATTAGCCATTTACAATGAAGGTGAAGATTGTGACTCACTTATTGAGACTACCCAGTTCCTCCTGTCCTGTTGTGACTGATAGTCCTGACAGATGTGAGCCACCAACACTGGGCTTCTTTTTATTTTATGGTCTTTCCTACACCCTCCTCACCTCTGGCCTCCAACCCCAGAGGTGCTAGGGATGGAACCCAGGGCCTCACATGTGGTAGGCAAGTGCTCACAGAGCTACAGTCTCAGCTGTGTTGCCTGTTAATAAGCAGAAGTTTCTAGTTTTGATGCAGATGAAATTACCAAGATTTAGAACTTTGGTCTTAGGAAGCCACCCCAGTGTCCTCTATCCCTCTGGGGTGTGCCTGTCTTTGCGCCTTTGTGGGAACCCAAGGGCTAACTGTACATCCTCGCTGGTTCAGGGCACAGGGCCCCAACTGTGCCCATGGGTCGGAGAGTAGGCCTGTTCCAGCCCTGGTTTCAGGGATTAAGGTTATCTGGAGATGCTGGGGACAATGCGATCACACAGGCTTCTTTCAAAGTCAGAGAAGGGGCAGGAGAGTGTCAGGCAGCCTGTGATGCCTGCTCTGAGATGTTAGGCTATAGGAAAGGACCCAGGAGCAGTCTAGGTCAACAACCCATGGAGTTGTTAGGGATTCTGCCCCAGGGCCTCTCTGGAGGGTACCCTGAGGAAGTTGTAGCCTTGACACTTGATTGTAACCCTGTGTGGCTGTGTGGGAGCTCACACCAGGATGGTGAGGTCATAAATTGGGCTACTGCAACCTACTAAGTGTGAAACAGCTGGAGCTGGACACCAGAGGTCCCTGTCCATCACAACAGCTTAAGTAAATCTTAAGTTCCATGGGCAAGCCCCCCATGGGCTCTATCCTTCACATGGTCTTAGGGCCCCAACCCACCCTTGATATCCTGAGTCCCACAGACACACGCATGCACACACAGACACACACAGGATGCTAAGAGGCACAGTACTGAATTTGCAAAGCAACTGAGAGAAGTGTCAGCCCCATAACATTGGGTCTGCTTCTGGGTTTTTGGCAGAACTCGGGTTTGAACAGAGGGCCTCAAGCTTGCAGGCTAAGGCAGGTATTCTACCACTTGAATCATGACCCCAGCCCTGCATCTGCGTTTTTGAAAGTGAAGCTCCCAAAGGCCAGTAGGAGTCTAGGTCAGGGTGGTTTTAGAAAGCAGGAAGCTTTAGTGGACTAGCTGATAACCCAAGTCCTGTATGGTGGTCAAGAGGAGGCTGAGGGCACACTGGGGGGAATGGCTGCAGATGCCCAGAGGTGACTTCAGGAGGGTCAAGGTCCCGAGAGCACTGGACCAGAGCTTGAACCCACAGGCAGAAGCAGGAAGAGGAGCTTAGAGGGGGGGGCTGTGGGTGGGAGGAGGGGCTCCAGGTAAGGGAGTGCAAAAAGGCCCAGTGGCACACAGGTAACCCCAGTGACTCTCAGAGGACCACATCCATGAGGGTCAGGGAGGGCGTGCTGGACACTGCCCTATGCAACAATGTGCTAGAAACAGCCAGGCAGAGCACAAGGGCGCATGGCACCCAGCCCAGACACAGACAAGGCCTGGACCAGAGCTGTGCTCCAGGTACAGGCTGTCAATCCAGCACACATCCCAAGTATGCAGTAAAACTCCATGGAAGAATGTTCTGGCAGAGGGCCCAGGGTACTGAGGTCATTTCTAGCCCCAGGCCCAGGATGGCAGGAAGCCAGAGGTCACCTAGTAGGCCTACCACCTGCCCATTGTCAGGTCAAGGTTTGGAGCTTGGGGATGGAGGGGAAGACAGGGCTGGAGGCCGCAGGGCCTGCTTGAGTGTGCTGGCTGGGGGAGAATGGGATGGGAGAGGGCCATTCCAACCCACTGTGGGCACATCCTGAACACAGGCGGCTTTGTGAGGGTTGAACTCGCCCAGCAGCCTCCAGAACAAAGGCTCTCTGTCCTTCTCACCCCTAGGCACCACCCCCAGAAAACAGCAAAGCCCCCAGGGTTCCCTTCCGGCCCCCACTTCACACAGCAGGCACATCCAAAGTCCAGTACAGAAGGGGGCTGCTCAGGCTGTAGCTAGTGCATAGTGGGAGCCCAGGGACAGGGTGCAGGGAGTAGGCCAGCACAGTTCTGTCAGGGGACACGTGGGCCACAGCCACCTCCCAGGTCCAAACTCACCCTGTGCCACAGACCATGCACATCTCTCCAACACCTGCCAAGCCCATGCTACCACTGCCCAGGGGCTTCCTCCTCTCAACCTGAGCTCTCCCCATCCCCAGACAAAGAGATCTGAAAGGGCAGCGGAGGAGGGCCTGGTCCCCACAGGGAGGGCTCCACCATGTATTTCTAGGTGCCCTCCATACCCTGAATGCCCAGGACCTCCTCAGGATGACCAGAACATGCTTGCCCCACTGCAGGCCAAAGGCCTCGATTCTGACCATAGTCAGAATAGCCCAACCCAGGAATGAGTATGTGGCCTGGACCTCTGCACCCAGGTCGGCCCCAAGATCTGCTCCTCTGAGCCTCAGTCAGGCTCTCCACCCAAGTGGGCACGTCCACGAGCCCTCAGCGTCTGGGTGGCAGGATCCAAATTAGGCCAGGCAGGGCTCCTGCCAGCCTGGCCAGCTCTTGCCGACACTGTTCCTGTAGTTGGCGCAGTGTTGTCTCCAGACAGGATTCCTGGGTCCTCAGCACCTTGATCACCTCAGCTGCTCGCAGGCCCTGGGCCCCTGGTTTCCCATCCTTGTCCTCACTTCTTACCAGTCGGTAGGGCCCTCGGGGCTGAGCAGGGTCCCTAGATTGTTCCCAGGACTCCCGCAGGGCCACCAGCTCCTGCTCCACAGCCTCCTGCAAGGCCCTCCGTGTGGTGCTCCACTCTGGTCCCCGGCCTAGGCCTCCAGCCTGCATGGGAGATGTGGGGATTCCTAAGCCCTGGGCAGCTCTATCCGCTAGGATGTAGGACTCAGGTCCTCTCAGCACTCCCAGCAGCCCTGCAGCCCCAAGGATCCAGAGAAGAGCTGATGCCTGTGTATCACTACTGCCAGAGTAAAGTGGGTCACCCTGGGGTCAGAACAGAAAGCCCACCTGGCTCACATCCAGCCTGTGCTCTGCTTCACCTTCACAAAGAATGTGAGCCCTATTTTAGCAGCAGCTGGGCCACAGGAACCCCCCAAAGCTCAGGGGGACAGGGTCTCTGGCCTTGGCTCCTAGGTCTCCTCCATGACAACCTCCAGCTGCAGGCCCAACTGGCTCATGGGCAGGGGTGGGGATGGGCTGGGTAGCTCCCAGTAGATCCTGTCCCACAAGGCCCTTCAGAGCTCAAAATTCCTTGAGAACACCCCCCATTCCAAGGTTCAATGCAGCCATCTCCACCATCCTCTGCTCCAGAACTTCCCACCTTCTTACTGCCCTCCAGGACTGGTATGTACGAGGTAAAGCTGGCCCAAGGGACAGATAGGGCTGCCATGTTGTTACCTCTGGCCTTTGGGGCAGTCGGTATTCAGAGACCTTGTGGACAAAGGGACACAATGACAAAGACTTTAAGCCCTATCCACTTCAGATGACACCAGGAAGCCACTCGGAGCTTCTGGGGACCCTGCTGAATGGGCTCATGGTTCTCAAAAAAGGATGGCAAAGTCCCAAGCTGGGACAGGACAGGAGCAGATTTTATTCAGTCACTCTGTGCGTGTGTGTGTGGTGGGGGGGACCCTAGCTCCCCTAAGCAGCCTGCAGGTAAGACAACCTCACCAGAGTGTGTGTGTGTAGGCACACACAGGATGCCCCTGCTCCTCCTGGAGTCTTACGGAAGGGCTTAAGGGGGTATCTGCTTGAGGTTCATATTAAAATGCTCCAGAAAAAGAAAAGAAATGCAGCAGTGAGGGGTGTTTGCAGCTGTGAGCCTGCTCAGGGAGAGGACCGCTGGCGTCGGGGGCAGAATCCATCAACAGCAGGAATAGGTCATGAGCCAGCACACATGGAGAAGAGTGGAAGGGTGGACAATTCTACACTGGTTTGTCCCTGTCTACACAGAGTCCCTGGGAGAGGGAAGATCCCAAGACCAAAGGCTGTCACAAGGGACAGTAGAGTCCCTTCCCCATGCACCCTCCTCCTCTGTTGGAATTGGTGTATGAGTGCATCAACAAACTACCAAACTTAATCCAATTTAGCCAGGTAGGACAGGGGAATGGGCGGGGACAGGACAGGACAGGACAGAACTATTATACAGGGCTTACCTGGGCCTCCCAGGTCACCCATCGGGTCTCCACCACCTTCTGAAGCTCCTCCTGCAGGGCTTGTAGCTCCTGAGCTACCAGCTCTAACTCGCCAAGCCTGGGCCCAGGGATCGAGGGCAGAAAGGTGGGCTGCGAGGCCCCATTGGGGCCCTCTGGAGGGCAGGCACCCAGAACTGTGTCCTACAGAGACCAAGAGAGGTGAGAGGATGTGCATCAGGCATGGGCTTCCAGCTAGCAGGGACACAGATTGCAGAGATCCAGGGGGTAGTGATGACCCTAATCCCACCATGGGCTGGACAGCTATTAACACTCCAACTATTGACACCCCAGTATGCAGGGAGACAGATTTCCGAGGATGCCAAAGGCGAGGCCAGTGACATTGGGCCTCTCTAGAAAACAGATAATGGCTGGGTGCGGTGGCTCACATCTGTAATCCCACTACAGGTACTTGGAAAGCAGAGATCACGATTGTGGTTCAAAGCCAGCCAGGCAAATAGTTCACGAAACCCTATGTCAAAAATACCCAACACAAAGTCAATTTTATTGGGGGGAGGTTTTTTAATAACCTTTGCCAACTTGGGCTGTTTGGGAGACTAAATATGACCACATACTCTACAGTGGGCTATACGACTAAGTGTAGTTCATTACTATTTTGTGGCCTATATTATGAAAAAAAAAAAAATACCCAACACAAAAAAGGGTTGGTGGAAGGCTCAAGTGGCAGAGCACCTGCCTAGCAAGCATAAGGCCCTCAGTTCAAGCCTCAGTACCCCCAAAAAGAAAACAAATGATGTCCTGGGCAATGCCCTCAAGGATCCCCTCCTCTTTCTATCTGGAGGTTGGGAGGAACCCCCTACACACCCCACAAGGAACTAGGGTTGCCACGGTCAACTGCCAAATGAGGTTAGGAGGCAGGGGCGGGCTTCCTCACCATCCACTTCCAGAAGACCAGTTCCAGGCGCCGCCACTCTAGAGCCGCCTCCAGGCGCGCATTCTCATGCTGCAGTGCCTGCAGTAGCTGGGGAACAGCCACAGCTGGGCCAGATTGCACAGGCAGGACCACCCAGATGCCCCCTGCTCACCTCCCGCACCAGGCTCTCACTGGGGAATCAGCGGGGCCCATCCCCCCAGGCCCCCCTGTGAGCTTTGGAGTACTTCGTTCAGGGCAGGGATGCCCCACCTCCATGCACACCCAGGCTGACTGCCTTCCCCATCTAACACACCTGTAGTCCCCACACTGGCCCAGGTTGCAAGGCCCACAGAGGTAAGGGCTGAGACCAGGTGCCCCTTGACTGGAGCGCTCTGCCCACTTCCCACTGATTAGGGGCTGTCCTAGGGAGGTAAAGACAGAGGAAGTCCAGAGCCTATCAGCTCTGGGGCAGGGGCCTCGCTCCCCTGTAACTTTGGGAACTCCAAAGGCAAGGGACAGTTTGTACCTGGCCCAAGTGGTAGGTGAAGGGCTGGAGGAGTGCAGAGTTGAGCTACACTCTAGAGAGAAGGGAGGACCAGGGCAAGAGACAGTCACCCTCCCAGCAGCCCAGAGCCTACTGACCCTGCACAAGTAGATGTGTAGCAGAGCACAGACAGGAAGACACCTAGCATAGTGGCTCACAGAGCACCCCAGCACCATGGGCCCTTCTCTGACCTCTGCCTTCAGAGGAACCTCCCCAGCCTGACTGGAGCCCGAAGTGACCCTAGCCCTCAGCCCCCAGTCCCCTGGTGGCTTTCTGAACAGTCACTAAATATACCTCCCTGTTCCCTACAGCTCTAAAGGACCTACAAGCAAGAGCCTTCAGACATCTTGTGGGTTTGTGTCCAGGCAGATGCCTGGCACACACTGAAGGCGAGCGCACCAACCCATGGACACCTGCATCAGGACCCCAGAGCTCCTGGGCAGGGAGAGGACCCCTGCTGAGAATAGCACACGCCAGGCCCTCTGCACCCAAATCTCCCACTCCTGGCTCCATGGAGCATTGAAAGCAGACAGGAAAGGCAGGGGCCTGAGCCTTGAATGTCAGCAAGGGCCAGTCCACTAGGCCTAGCACACACAGACCACATGCAGTCATGGACAAATGGGAGGCCTGCGAGATGTGGGAAGCCAGACCAGGGTGAGGGGAATGCACAGAGTGGGTCCACAGGTCTACCTCCCATAAAGCAAAAACTCCAGTCAGGGTGCCTAAACATGGCAGCCAGAAGGCAGTTGATACAGCCTGCAAGAATAGTCCTTAGGACGCCTGGCACCCCTAGACCACAGATGGACAGGCAAAATGGAGGAGCAAATAAGCCTCCATCCCCTTGCTCCCAGTGTCCACCCTCCAATTCTGCAGTCTCCTGAGGCAGCCACCTCCCTGTGCCTCCTTTTGGGCAGGAACCAGGGCACAGGGGATGCAAACGGAAGAAGGTTGAACCTACACCAGCGACCAAGGGAACTGCCCAGTCACTCAACAGTATGCCTGGCTGCTCACACACTAGTCATGGATCATTCCAGAAGCTTCTGGGACCTGTCCCAGCATCACAGGCCCTTTGGATAGAACAGATACAGGCTTTGGCCAGCTTCCCGTCCAGAAATCTGGAAAGAAGCCAACCTATGGCCCTAGTCCACCTGGCCACTGCCATCTGTAGTCCTGCAGCACCAACGCATGCCAGACTCTGAGACAAGGGGTGCCTCACCCACCAGGCCCTCATCCCAGACTGAGGATGGTCCCACAAAAAGGTGTCAGGACCAGGCTGAGTAAAGGCAGCCTCTGCTCCAACCCAGGGACTAGGGGCTGAAAGCCTGGCTATGCTGAGTCGCCTCTGGAAGGGGGGCAGAGCCAAGGGTATGTGGAAACACCCAAATGCTGCCTCAGCACCTCAAGCCCAAACGCAGGTCCTATTAGCCAGGGCTGCAGGCCCAGCTTTAATCAGGGCCCAGCAAGCTTACCAGGTAGGCGCTCTTGACCCACAGTGAGGCACAAAAATCACTCAGGAGCATGAAGTTCCAGCTGGAATATGCCAGCCAGACTCACGTAAGCCCCGGAGGATGACAGACCAGGTCACCTGCCCCAGACCCTTGGGTGTCCTTGGTCCCACCTGCCCAGGCCATAGGACTTGGGATGAGGTGGAGAAGCCAGGTCTCCGGGCACAGGATAAAGCAGGCAAAGAGGGGAGCTGGGCCTGAGCTCTGGCCCTCCTGCCCAGCAGTATATGTTCAGGGCCAGGCAGGGCCAGCCAACTACTCAGGATGGTCCAAATCCCAGACCTGGGCCTGCCCTAGAAGCCTCAGGGGGAAGCTGGCCAAAAGGAACTAGTGGTGATGGAAGGCCCCAGGAAAAAGGAATGGGAATGGAAGATCAGCAGTGGGGACTTCAGAGGGAACAGCAGAAGTAGGAGGAACTGGACATTCTGGGGAGAAGCATGGGATGGGGCCATCCCTGACATTCTTCTTGTCAGTGCCCCAGCAGCCTCAGACAGTGGGCACTATTTGTCTGAGGCCTCATGGCCACCCAAGCTTAGAGCCCACCTTCCCTCTAGGCCTGTGCTCTCCAAGACCTAGTCTGCCTGGGATCCCCAGAAGTGGACCCTGGTCAGCAAGCAGAACTGAGGCCTGCAGGTTTCCAGGGCCTGCAGGCTGGTTTACCTCAGCAGAAACTTTCCAACAGACTCCTGGAGTCTGGTCCCAGCCTCTGAACGGCAGTCATCTCCTGCCTGAAGTCAGCCCTATGAACAGCTCCTCCCACCCCCAAATATACTATTTGGCAGCAGGTGACACCTATATAGCTCACTCAGACTTGATATCAGTATTCCTCAATTCCAGTGGTCCCCTCCCTTAGCCCTACAAGCCCAGCCCAGATACCACGCCCCTTGGACTTTGCCCATGTCTAGCCAGAGGACATGCACACACAGTACCTAATCTAGATGACTGCACAGGGAGACAGTCCATGGGCCAGGGAGAATACCAGAGGACACACCTGTCACCAACACTGACAATGACAGTGAGCTTGGCAAACACCCAGAGACAAAGGTCAGACCCCAACACCAGCCCCGGGTACTCCCTTAACAGGCTGCAGCCCACTGCAGGAAGGGCCTACCCCAACACCTTTCCAGCCCTCACCTGATGGCCGCCCTCTGGGTCCCTGAGCATCTCTGTTTCAGCTACAGACAGATGGCGGAGGCTCTGGTCACTATGACATCCACGGGTGTACAAGTGAATCTGATACAGACAGTGCAGATTTCAGGCTGGGGAACAGTGGGTACCGCCCCTCAGCACTGGGTCTCCATTACTAGTCCAGCATGGATGATCTTCAGAGCCCAACTTACAGATAAGGAAACAGGCTCAGAGAGGACCACACCTTGCCCAAGCTGCCCAAGGCAATGCCAGCTATCAGCTCTTCTGGGAGACCTCCACCCTTGCAGAAGGAGGGGCAACAGGCAATCTCATTAAGAGCTTCCCCACCCAACTCGCCAGGACATATGGTATGGCAAAGTGGGAACTGCCTTGCTTGCCCTCCAACAGCCAGGCTCTTGAGACTTGACTCAAAGGCCTGAGTGGCAAAGGAATAAATTCTGGACAGATACATGAGTCCGTTGAGTCAATGGTGGGGACACATAGCAACTACCCAGGTCTAGAAGACAGGGAAAGTGCTCAGAGAGGTGAGGCCAGAAGGTGGCACAGAGTTAACAGGTGGGCACGTCCTAAGCAGGTGGAGCTACTGGAGCCACTGGAACCAAGGCCAGGCAAGAGGCAGTGAGGGATCTTGGGAAAGACCTCTACCAGGGGCAGGCATGCAGAATGGGAGTCTTAGCCTCAAAGGGCAGTAAGCACAATGCTGGCTATCTGGGTCCCTGTAGGTGGCCCCTACCAGCCTGCAGAGGCTCCTACAGAAGCTGCCCACTCCCCAAAACAGCCTACACCCAAGATGCGGAAGAAAGCAGATGCCCCTTCACCCTTGAGTGCCCAGGAGGCAGCAGGTTGTCCAGGGAAAATAAACCATTCCACAGCTTAGTGAGGCAGAGTCTGAAGGCCACTAGCCACTTTTGGCAACAATATCAACCTCATGGGCTCTCTGATACTCAGCTTTGCTCTACCAACAAAGCTCAGAACCCTGACCACTAGCCCCCTGCCCAAGCATGGCCCACCCAATACCAGCCTGCCTTGGGCCCCTACCTGGACAACCCAGAGCAGTGGGCGCAGGCAGTCCTACCCCCACCAGCCCAGGTAGGCCTGGGAAGGACCACATCCAGCCAGAAGACTGGGCTCGAGCTCCTGCAGGGCCTAATGGGATGTGTCATGGGAAAAGGCAGCCTGGGACTGGGGTGCAGGATATGTAGCCCCTGGATGGAGAGCCACATGCCCACGTTACCTTGCTCAGCAGGGTGCACTGCTCCTGCTGACTGGAGACCAGGCGTCGCCACCGGAACCGCAGTTTTCCCATCAGCCACTGCACTTGGCGGAGGTCCACAGGGCCCTCTGCTTCCACATGGGATGTAGGTAGGCCAGGGCTAGCTGGGGCCTCGCACAAGAGAGGGAGCAAGTGTCAGGCTCTCTTCCATGCCCCACCCTGCCCTGAAGGAGAGGCCAAGATGGGAGAGAGGTCCTGCACAGGACCAAGTCTCAGCTAGGCAGCTAGTGAGTCTCTCAGAGTACTGCCCTGAAGGGCAGAAACAGAAGAGCTGGCCAAGGCCTGTCCTTGCTTGGTACACAGGACTTGGGACACAGAGACACCCAGGATTCCAGGCAGGGCTGTACCATCACTCCATACTCACCTCCCACTGGGGCATATGGTCACCAAGATGCACACGGGTCTGGGCAAGCAGCCGCTCAAGAAGGGGCCCTCGGGCCAGGAGCCAGGACAGGGCTAGCAGCAGCTCCCGGCTGCCCTGTGAGTTGTCCTCAGGGAGCTGCGACAGCGCAGACCTCGGGTAGCCCTGGGAGCGCAGCACTGACTTCACGAAGCGGGCTTGGGTCTCTGGAGTAGGAGGCCACCGGCTCAGGAGGGCCCCCACCTCAAGGTGAGGACACCTGAATCCCTCAAGGGACCACACACACAGACAGCGAAGGCTAGGCTGAGAGAGGACCATGGGGGAAAGGAAGGATGTGGAAGCCAGGTGCTAACCACGGGCAGCGCTTTTGTGAGTGGTTGAATCAGGATCTAGCCAGGAGCAGAGCTCCATTGGAGTGGGGGAAGCCATTGATACCCAGGTAAACGGGGCCAGAACTTGCAAGGCGGTGCTGGGGCAGGAGGAGAGGGCGGCCACTAGATAGGGACAGAGTTGGGCGGAGCTAGTGCCACGGGGGTGGAGGCAGAGCCTCCAGGGGCGTGGCCTTACAGAGTCGGACAGGACCGACCAAGAAACCCTAACGAGGCCGGGCCTTAGAGTTTGGGTGGAGCAAGTGGGGCTTTCCGGGAGGGCGGGGCTTACCCGGGGCGGGCGGGACCGAGGTGTTGTCTGCCGCGAGCGGCGAGAGCAAGCGAAAGAGGAGCTGCCAGAGCGCGGGGGCCTGCGGCAAACAAAGAGCGCCCGGTCAGCAGGGCCGAGCCACTCCCCTGCGTTTGCCCAGGACAACTCCCGACCCGGTTGCCTGCCCACCACGCGAGTCTCACCGCTTCCGGACGGTCGAACTTGGCGCGGCGGAAGATCTCCGGGCTGGGCCCAGCGGGCAGCGACCGACTTAGCGCGGCGATGGCCTCGGGCAGGGCCCCGGCCGCCCCGTCCACCCGGCGCCGGCGCCTCCCCATGTACAGCCTGCACCAGGAGCCTCGGATCACCCGCCGCAGCCGGCCGGGACCAGCGATCAATCACAGCGTCGGTGGGGACCCGCCTCCACGGCCCTGACCCAATGAGCGGTGACCTTAGAGTTTAATTGCGGTCTGTGCTACTCGATGCGGAGCCACTTCCGGGCTTCGGAGCCACTTCCGGGCTTCGGAGCGTGGGGCCTTCCGTGTTGTTGACTCCATGGAGTTGGCGCTCGCAGGCCCAATCTTCTCCCGCCTCGTCCGGAGCCGGCCAATCAACGCCTCGCGCCGCTGGCTACCAAGCAACTGCGGGCGGGCACCGCCTGCGCGAGGCTGGAGCGTGCGCATGAGCCGGAGGCGCCCATGGGAACCTCTGAGGACCCAGGCCCTCTGCCTACGCAGCTGTGGCTGGTGCAGTTCCTTGAAGCCTCCTGGGCCAGGCCGCCAGGAGGCGCAGAGATCCCGCAGCGCCACCGGCCCCTGCGGCTGGCTTATCGCTGCAAACGCGGTGGGGGCTCCGCGGACAACGTAGCCCAATGTCTCTTGGGAAAGCGAGCCTTTAGAAGCGAAAGTCCCTCTGTCCCCGGCCTCTCGGCCCTTCCCCAGCCTATGTCCAGCCCCAGTCCTCACTGTCCCTACCTTCAGCCTCCCTCTCCCGCCACTAAGAGACAGGTGTAAGGAAAAGTCGACACTTTAGGAAGCAGAGTAGCTTTCTCCTTCGAACTTAAACACAAGTTTTCCGCACAGCCCAGTGCCAGTCCTGGCAGGCCACGAGCGTCCTTCAAGTACACACGCAGGAGTTCTCAGCAGCCACATGACAATGGCAGAGTCCACACTGGTGAGTGGAGAAGGACGCAGCACCTGCAGTTAGGAAACCTATTCAGCCATGGACATGACCACCCTGTGTGGCGACAACGTGGGGGAAGCCAGAGTGACCTCCCTGAGTGTAGAAGGCCACGTGCGAGAGGCCACATCGAATGGGCCTGTGCATATAGAGTGCCCAGAGAAGGCGAGTTTACATGCAGAGAACAAGCCACTGGCTGCCTGAAATGAGCTGGCAAGCGGATAGACGCGGTTGACCGGAACGGTGGTACGGCACGCTCCGTGCACGTCCTGTTACCAGAAGTGTAGCTGGGGCGGTGGACTGTACGGTGTGTAGGCCTCACGCGAATAGCGCCGGAAAGAAGGCAGGTGGAGAGGGCGGATGTGCGAAAGAGAGGAGGAAATCCAGGTGAAAGGGAAGGCGAGAGAACCCCATGCACCTGCCGGCTGGGCCGCGCCCACAAGACCACAAGACGGCCACGCGCACAGGATGTGCCTGAACAGGGTTCCACCCCTCCGTTTTCTCTTTCCTCGTGTCCTACCCTTCATCCTGACGCTGCTCCGCACTCGGAGCAGCAGACGCTTATCAGCTTCGCCCAGGTGCCCTGGGCTCTCCTGCGTCTGAGCCTCCCCCTCGGCTAAACTGCTGTGGCCACCTCCTTCCACGTGGCTTCCTGAAGCCAGAATCTGCCCCATTAACCCGTGCTGCGAGGTGGACCAGGAGTCCCTCCCCAGCTTGGGGTATGCTCCTGCTTGTCCTTTTCCTCTGGATGAAGCCGGCCCTGGCCTCCACAGAACCCTGACATCTCAACAGCACCTTTAAGTCTTGGCTCCCGCCTCTGATGTGCCCTCCAAGGAGCCCTTTGCCTCTCAGGGTCTTTGCACTGTGGTATCTTCTGTCCGGAGTGTGCTCCCCCCACATCGGGATCTTGCTGACCACAACTCTTCCTTCAAGCTTCACCTGGCTGCGAGTTCACCCCAAGTCCACCCCAACTTAGCTGTATGCTATATAGAGGGCAAGAGCCACAGCGATGGAGCAGGAGACAGGTAGCCTTTGGAGGGGGACAGGGACCAAAGAGGTGGGGGACAAGAAAGGGGAAGATGGGACAGGGAAGAAGCTGCTGCCTCTCTCTCACACACCCCACACCCTGCAGTGCCTGCCCAGGCTGACAGGTGTCACTGGGTCTTAAAGTCCTTGGTCCCCCCCACACACCCTCTCTCCGCCGGGAAGGGAATCTGGTCCACCTAAACCAGGGACTCAAGCCTCTGTATGGCATCCTGTGCTCACTCCTCACTCTGCATCCCATGCCATCTAAAGAACTATGGCCTCCACCTCTTGGAACTGCAGAATCACCCAATGGGACACACTCTGTCCTACAGATGACCTGAGTGCTTCCCCACAGCACATCCTGCTCATGCCTGCAATATACCCACCAAAGCCTAAGACAGGCCAAATCGTCTGGGTTCTTTACATCTGCCAGCGATCTAAAGGGACCTGGGAGACATGCTCTTAGGCCCACAGGAGTCAGTGGCCAGTGAAAGGTGGGTGTCTAAGTGAGCATCTGCTGCCTGAGTGGACAAAGGAGTTTCCAGAAAGCCCCTTCCACTGCTTCAAGCCAGCCCCCAAATCTCATTTCAGCACCAGGCCATTTGGGACATCCCTGAGCAGGGAAGAGGGCAAAGGAGGTGGTGTTTGGATCACGAGCTAAAGCAGCTACAACATGCCCCTGCAAAAATGGGAGGAGATGAGGACAGAGTGAGGTGGGAGGAAGTGGGAAGGAGACAGGCAAGGCGCCCACACAACTCCCCCAAAGATTCTCACAAAGGGAACTTGCAAATAGTCTCAGGTGATTCACCCTCTGACCCGCAGCCAACCCCTTACCACCACCCAGGCCTCCTTCACATTCTTGCTGATCCTTTGGCCAGGGCCAGAACCACTGAGGATGGCTATGGGTATGGTAATTGAGAGTTAGACTTGGACTGTTGCCTTGCAGAGGGGGCTCTGCCTGTGGTGGCCTTCAAAGGGTTCCTAGGAGGGTAATGGACATCAGTGTCTCCTGCAGCAGGAAGAAAAGCATCCTTGGCTGGGCCTGGAGTTGGAACCCCTGCTGCAACTCACCTCTACCAGCCCCCAGTGAACACACACACACGTGTACATGGGTGCACACATACACAGACAGGTCTTCCAAGTACTTGGGTTTATTGAGGGCATGAAGGGCTACCACGAGCCCAGGGTTTCTGGGGGTAAGGCCTGGACAGCCAAGGGTCCAGCGGGTGGCTGAGGATAGAGTCTCCACAACCTGTACAGAGAAGGACAGATGTGAATGCATCTCTGATCCATGTCACCGGGCCCCACCAGTGATGGAGCCTGGGGCTATCCTCACTCTCAGCTGGGTTGGACTGGAGCTGGGGCTCTACCTGGGTCTACTTGAAAGTGTGACTCTCAGCTCCACCCCGTCCAAAGCCTGCAGCAAAGACAAGAAGGTCGTCAGGTTAGGGAAGGGAGCCTGGGGTGGGGTGGGGTGGGGCAGGGGCTTCCACCAGACCAAAACATACCTTTGGGCCCAAACATGGCTGAGTAGCAGGGATGGTTGCAGTAGGGCTTCCCTTCATGCTGCAGAGAAAAGGGCGGTGTGGGAGCGCCTTCGTCACAGCCCCTACCTCTCCCCAGCACCCCAGTCCCACCTACCTCTGCATGGCTCCCAGAGGTCAGCGTCTTTCCACATTTCTCACACTTCAGACAGGGCCGATGCCAGTCCTTACCCAGCGAGGTCACCCGTTCAGCTGCAAAGGCACAGACCATACCCCCCATGAGACGTTGGGGTCTTGGCACACCCACTGCTCAACACACCCCTCCTCCAGTACTTGAACACACTGCAGCCGCATTCTCAACCTTGCAATCCACTGGGCCCCTCAGGCAGATCCAGCCAAACATACTGGAAAGGTCTCTGGCCCCTGGGACGTGCCCCCTGAGGACGAATGGGGGTTTGGAGGGGGTGCGGGTCTGGAAGGCAGATGGCCAGGCTGCCCTAGCCTCTGCGCCGGTGGCTGGGTGGAGCCTGTGGACGCCCATCTTAAGTGATCTCTCACTTCCTTGCCCCGCTTGGGGGGGCCCACCGCGCGCACGGGGCAGGAAGGAGAGCACCCAGGATCGCGCCCCAGGCGTCGATTTCCGCGTCTGTTTCTACTTAGCGCTGGGAGGGGCGGCCCCAACACTGCGTTCCTTCCTATCCCGCGGGGACCCCGCCCAGGGCGCGCCGAGAAGAGGCGGGAGAGACAACGGGTCCCGGAGACCCGAGGTCACGGAAACTGGAAGACCCAGAGGCTGGGGCTCACGGAGAGTGGGTGGCCCAGAGGCATGGCGTCATGGAGGAGGTTCAGAGACTGGGAGAACCAGAGGCAACGAGAGACAGAGCCAAGAAACAGCGAAAGAGCCGAGACTGCGGGACTGCAGGCTTCCCCCACCCTCCCATCTTGCAGCCGCCGTGTGGGAGGCGGGTTGGCTCCCAGGAGGCGCCCCCTCCCACCTGATTGTCCCTAGCGGGTCGCCCTCTCGGCCGCGCTTCCGCGTCGGGCCGGCAGTGCGCCCGATGGCGCGGAAGGGAGAAGCCGGGGTGGCGGGGCGCGCTTACCGAAGTACACCTCCTTGTTGCACTTGGGGCACTTGGGCATGGTGGCGTCGGGTCTGGAACCAGCGGCGGCTGTGAAGCTGGGACAGGTTACAGGCAGTAGACTGGGGTGGCGCCCGCGGGTCCGCGCCTTTCAAGGACCCCGGGGCTCCGCCCCTTGAGACCCCGCCTCGAGCCCGCCCCCTGAGTCGGGGACTTGGACCCCGGGGACCTTGAATCCAGGCCGACTAGACGGGAATGGTCATCTGCTCCGCGCCTGCCTCCCGCAGGACCAATCCAGCAAGCCCGAGGGCCGATAGGGAGCGGGGGCGCTCTTGGGGACCCTCTGAGGGGTGGGGCTGCTCAGGCAGGTCCACGCCCCACCCCACACACGGGGCAGTGCACCCTACGGTCGGGGATCTGGAACAAGGGACTCTCCGCAGCAGTAAAACGCGCCCCACCCATGCCGCCTCCGGACGGTACCAGCTGGAGCTGGTGACCGGCGGACAGGTCACTAGTGCAGAGAGAAGCAAATTAGCGTGCGAGAATTTCTCCTCACACACTTTGACCCTGCCTTCCCCCAGAAAGAGGGCTGAACACACATCACGAGAGTCAGTCTTGCAGCCCTCCTCCTTCAGGATCCCTGCTCGGGTCCCAGCCTGCAGGGAGGCCAGGAGGCCCTCGGCGGCCCGCCCACCTGAACCTCAGCCCCCGACCCTCCGACACCGCTGCTCTCTGGGAAGTCCACTAGACTACAACTGGAACATCCCCGGGGAATTCAGCAGAGGGGACTCCCATCCAGGACAGCCCCTTACTCCGCAGCGACAGCCTAACTTGGGGACCTATGGGCTGGGATTGGAGGTCTGGCGGAGGAAGGAGAGTGTAGCCACGCCCAAGGCGCCTGGCCGCCTTCGAGGAGAAAGGTCCTTATCTCTGTGGGAAGTGCCTGAGCACCAGGAGCCGTCCAAGTCCACCACCCACCAACCTGTATCAGGCAGAGACCTTCCGCAGAGAAAGAGGGTGGATGAGGGGCTGGCGGTGGACAGTGAAGACATGGAGTGAGGTGTGGCCTGCAGCCTCAGGGACTGGAGGAGCCCTCCCCCTCCCTAAATCCAGGCCTCAGCCTATTCTTTTGCCTCCTATTCTCTTGCCTAAAACTCTGGTACTGGGGTCACTGTCGCGCCAGGCCCCTCTCGCCCTCGTGCCCTCTCTCTGTAGACCCTTCACCTCCCTGCCCTGTGGACATCCTTGCCCTAAGTGCCCATCCCCCTCTCTACCCTGCCCCCAGGACCCTTCCTCCCTTTACAGTGTTCCCCCCACTTTTAGCCAGTCTTGTCTTACCAGCCTCTTTGTCTCCCCTGGACACACCCATCTCAAAAAACAAGACATCACCTCTGGGCTTAAGTCCTATCCCTGCTCACAGGAGACCATCCCCCCACAATGCCTGGGGGCCCTGGACTCCCCGAGGGCGCTCAGCCCTGACTGTACCTTGTGGTCTGCACCTCACCTATCATTGTCAGCCCCCAGGCCTAATGCTGAAGCCCACCTACCCATCATCAACCCTCAGGCCTCATGCTGGGGGAGGGTGGGAGAGAAAGCTCCAGTGCCTCCATCTCTAAGTGTCTACCTGACATCCCTCACTGGATCCCAGCTGGGATGAGGGTCAGATCTCTCAGGCCTGTGGGAGTATGGAGGCACCTTGTGTCTGGTGCAAAGGCCACATTCCAGGCAGTCCCTAGAGGTGGGACTCCTAACCCCCTCCTCAATGCTCTCCAGTCTTGGCCCTCCTCCCTGGGACTCCTTTATGAGGCCACAGTTCTACCCCTACTGGGGCTTGTAAGTGCAGGGGTCCATAAGACATTCCCCAAGCCCCTCTCTCTTGGGCTGGGGTTTCCAGAGTGGGGTGCACACAGGCTCTGCAAGGGTGCATGCCTCAGTCACTAGCCTGGGGAGCCTTGAAACCCACCTAAGACTTAGGCCCACCTGCAATCTCTTCCCAGCAGGGGCACCCTGTGTGGTTTCTGTACTTAAGACCACCACCCACCCATCCCTTGGGGTCTCCTCAGCCAGTATGATAACAAGAGATCCTGACTTCCCTCACCTCCAGACCCCAGGGTCTGGAGACCAGTGAGACAAGAGAGATCAAGGGGCAGAGGGGAAGCAAGGACGAGAAACGCAGCCTACAGGCATATGCTATGGAAGGGGAGAAGCAATGAGCAGAACTCCTGGGGATATGAAGAGAGGTTGGGATGGGGAGGGGGTGAGGACCAGGATTGTCTTGGAGAATCGGGATCTTTGCCACTGCAGGTCCCTGGGGTCTCGCCACATACACCGCACACACCACCTTGCTATTCACAGAGAAAGCCAACAGTGCTCTCCTGGGGTGTGCAATGGGTGGAGGACACAGGGCGTCGGGCAGTCTGCCTCCATCTCCACCAGGAGGATCATTGTGTTCCAGGGGTGCAAGGGATGGGGTGCCTGGATGCTCACGTGTCTCCTGAGCCTGCAGGCATACCTATGTGTTTGTGATGTCCCTAGAATCCTCTCAGAGCACATGGCTGGCCACGTTTCTGAACAGCCCCACCCCACCCTATCCCAGGGCTCCTGGGCAGAGTTGAAGCTCTCACCTAAAGGACATTTGCTGGAGCAAGGGGGGGTCAATGGCCAGGTCCTCAACCCCCCTTCCACTACCCCACCCCAGGGATGGCTCCTTCTCTCACACCCCAATTTCCAACCACACCCTGCCCAAGGAGCCCCCCTTGAAAACCCGCGATGAGTCCTTCCTGGCTTGCCCTACTGTTATTTCCTGTTGCCATAGTCACTGGCAGCGGGGGAGGGCAAGGGGGAGCCAAGGGCCATGGGGCAGTGCCCTCTGTGTTAGTACATAGCAGTTTTTCCAGACACTCAACTCAAATACATACTCACACTCACAAAGACATGCCCAAGCTGGGTGTGGCAGTGCACGCCTGTAATCCTAGCTTCCTAGCTGTCCTGGAGGATAAGACAGGAGGATCATGAGTTCAAGGCCAACCTGGGCTACACAGGCAGACCCTGTTCCAAAAAAGTATAAAAATAAAACAAAAAAGACCATGCACAAACACACAGACACATATAAAGACTGACACACGCTCACAAAGATAGACACACACAAAGGCACATGTGCAAAGACACACGCTGACACACAGACGTGCCTCCACCTATTCCTGGAACTCCCCCAAAACTTCAGCTATAGGCTGATGTGGCCTCAAAGGCTCTGTCTCCATGTGCTCCCCACCTGTCCTGCCTAGCGGGGAGTGGGCTCTCTTTATCTGCAACCCCCCACCCCATCCCAGCTCCTTCCTCTACCCAGTCTCCATGTCCAGGCTGCTGGCACTATCCCCACTCCCTGCTGAGGTATAGCTGGTGCCAGTCGCAGCCTCCCAGGGACCCCGGCTCCACCCTGGTGCAAGGCCCTTTCTTCTTTCACCTGGCCCTAACTAGGTCCACAGGGACTACTAAGCCTACAGGGTTTACATGACTGAACCAGTGGACCGGCTAGAGGCCACTGTGGGTGCTGAAGGAATGTGTTGCACTAGCACACTGAGGCCAGAGTGGTGATGAGGACAGGACACCTAGTTCCCAAGCTGCCTACCCCAGGTGCCTCTGTTACAGAACTTTCCACCTCACTGAGACAACAGGAGAGTGGAAGTGAGGGTTACACTCTGCAGGATCCTCCTCTATCAGTTCAGCCTTCCCTCTGCACAACCCCCTCCGACCTTAGCTGGCCAGGCTGCAGCACCCTGAGGCCAGCCAGAAAAGGCAGGCTGGGTCCCACAGGGCCTGCTGACCGCTGAGGAATCCCACCATCCACCCACCCCCACCAGGAAAGTTCAGCTCATGAGTGAAGAGCCCTTCCCTCTGCAGAGTGTGCCAGAAACTGTCCTTAGTCCCGTGCCTCGCCTGGTTAACCACCTGAGAGTGTGGACAAGTGTGAAGACACCCCCACACACCAAGGGCTGGAGGCCCACTGGACCTGCCTTGTGCCCTCTGCACTCAGGGCCATGTGCTCTGAGCACACGCCGCAGGAAAACGGACCAAGCCCAACCAGACACAGTTTGGGTCTCCCCAGGGTCCCAATTAAAGACATTCACAAGTTCCCAGGGTCTATTTTCAGCAGCTTGTCCCCTGAGACCCCTGTCTGGCCTGAGATCTGGCCCCAGAGTGGGCCTGCTGGGACAGATGGTGTGGTCAGGGTCAGGAGAAGTGGATACTTTCTGAGCCAGACAGGCTCCTCTGCCCTTATACCTCGAGCCCAGGTTTTATGTTCCTCTTTTCCTAGAACCGACATAACATGACCAGGGGGACAATGAAGGACTGGGGAATCCTCAGCCAGCACTCCTCCAATGGGGCTGTACCACCTGACTAGAGCCTGTAGCCTGGTCAGATGGAGTGCCCTTGACCGCCCCCCTACACTCCCTTGAGGCCAGGCCTGGTGCCCAGTCTGTTTCCTGAAGTCAAAGCCCAGGGAGAACTGACTGGAATTCCAGCCTCCCCAGCCCAGCAGCTGAGGCTCTGTTCATGGCCCTGAGCCCACCTTCAGCGGCCAGCCTGGCCCTGCGAAAAAGGACTGTTCACACCTGGTGTCCTGATCCCTGGCCAGCCTCTGCCTGTGCCCACCCAATAGCCAGAGCTGGGGGCACTGATGCACAGTGATTTTCTGATACCCAGCCCATTGGGTACAGCCAGCCCCTGGGGCTACAGTCAGTATCCAGGCACAGGAGGGGTCATGATGCCACCCCAGGTCCTAGGTTCCCAAGTTCAGGGAAGCTAGCCAAAGATGAATAGGGTCCATAGGGAACCAGAGCTGGGAAGACTCCAGGAAGCAGTTGCCCAGGGCTGGTGCAGGGGGCACTGGACTAGGCGAAACTGGGCTGGGCCTGAAGGGCTGGTTCTGGGGGTCTGCAGTGCGGATCCTCAGAGGATCTAAGACTAAGGGAAGTGGGGATGAATGAACACAGGCTGAGCCAGCCCCACAGAGATGCCAGCTGGGGACACCCACAAGGGTCTTGTAGTCTGGGGGGTAGAAGCAGAGAGGAGCCTAAGGGGACCTGGCTGGGAAGTACAGCAAGAGTGGAGTGCTGGGGTGGGATGAGGTGCTGCGTCTGGGGAGCAGGGCAGTGAAAGCAGTGAAGAAGCCTGCACTGGAGCTTGACCCCCAGCACAGCCAGCTTGCCCAGAGCAGCATGGGATGCGAGGCAATTTGTGGGTCCCTGGTCAAGGCTCCCAGAGGGGATGTGAGGTGGCGGTCAGATGGATTTTTTTTTTTTTTCCAATGCCTGGGATGGAACCCAGGGTCTTGTGTATGCTAGGCAGGCACTGTACTTCAGTGTTATATCCCCAGCCATACATATCATTTTGGAGCTGCCTCACTGGCTGAATGCCCATCAGAGAAGGTTAACAGTGGGGGCCCAGGGCAGCTTCCCAGGGAACGGTGGAAAGACCCACTCTCCGGGACAAAGGAGCCCATTCCCTCTCCCCTCCATCCTTGGGGCATCATGCCACTGGAGGGGCCCTGGCGGTACAGTGGACATCGCCTGGCAACAAGGCCCAGACAAACAGCAGCAGCACCACAGGTTTCCAAGACAACCCTTTGGAAACAAACAAGACAGCGACCGTCATCTTCCCCAGCAGGAAAAGGGCAGGTCCTGCCCCGCCCAGCCTGAGTGCTGGAGCATTGCCCAGCCACAGGGAGGGAAGTGGGGGCAATCTGCCCCCAGAAAGACTCCTGCCCCTCTGCCCGGACCCAGTCGGTACAGGGGTGGGGGTTGTCTTTCTGCCCTAACAGGCATCCTTTCCACCCAGGATTTGGGGAAAGCTCTTCAGAGGTTCAGAGGCGGGTTGCTCACTCCAGCAGCCTCTGCCCTGCAGTGGGCGGACAAATCCATCCCGGCTGGGAGCCTGGATGAGTCCAGGCTGAGCTCTCTTCAATCACCCCCTCAAGAAGCCTCATATGGGCTGGAGAGGTGATGAAAGGGGAGGGGAGGGGTCCCATCCATGCCTCTGAGCAGAAGTCTGGCTTCTGCTACCTGTATAACCTACAGCTGTGCCTGTGGTGGAGAGCTGCCACCCTGCAGGTCACTGGCCCTGCACACTGGCCATGGTCCAGGAGGGGATGGGAGGGTAGTTAGGACATTGCCAGACATTCACCCAGAGACAAGGACACTGCTTAGAGGATAATGGGCCCTGCATCCACAATCAGTCAGGCCTGAGGCTTGAAGGGCTGGTCAGGGAGCCCAGGACTGAAACATCACAGTCTCTCGTGGCTTAACCAAGCCTGGGAGCTAGGGAGCCTGGCACCTGGGTTGTGGTGTGTGGTGAGACAGAACCCTGGGGCTGAGGTCAGGAGTGGGCCAGGGCAGGTCTTGCGATGCCCCCAGCGTGGATCCATAGGACATGGGCGCCCTCTAGTGGGCTTTACCAGGGTGGCAGGTAGAGCGAGCATCAGTGGTAAGAAGGGGGCAGAGCCTGGACTACATGGAGAGCCTGGGGGAATTCTGTTTTCACTGCAAACCCAATCACCAGAGCCCTGGGGCAGAGAGACTTTAGTTCCCAGACTGCCTGGCACAGACTGTCCTCATTCTGTCCCTGGGGCACACCCACCCACTTAAGGCAAACCAGGTCCATGAAGGCCTTGGCATGTGTCAATCAACCATTGACAAAGGCAGGTCAGACTTGGTCCAACTGCAGCCCTCCCTTTGGACTTCCCAGTCCAGTCCAAGGCTGTATCTCACCTGGGTCTCAACCCAGCTTCCCACCTTCTGCACAGGACCCCTCCTTTGGTCACCTGTCCCCATTCTCTCCACTGCATGTCCTCTGCTGTTCTCAGGCTGGTCCTGGCTCCAGTGCCCAAAGCTGCTCACCGGAGTCCAGGCTCAGCCTCCATGGACCCCACCCGCCCCTTATCTGGACTCCTTCCCAGGACACCCCCTCACCTCTGCCCAGTCCAGCTCTGCTGTGCCGTCTACCCACCTCAGGTATAGCACTGCTGCCTGAACCAGCCCCCATCCCACCTCAAAAATATCCCTTCTCACCAGAAGCCAAGCCTGGGGGCAGCTGCTAGGACAGGAGTATCGGTGAAGGGACCAAGGGACATTGTCCTGGATTCACATCCATCGATAAGCACAAACCGCACTGAGTCCAGAAATCCTCAAACCTTTTATTGACAGCAAAAGTCTCAACAGCTGAGTGTGAACCATGTGAGGGGCGGGAGGTGGGCAGTATGAGAGCCAGGCAGAGGGTCCTGGCAGGGGGTACCTCTGCCTTGGCACGCTGTGAGAGCGTAGCCATTGCCAGCAAGCGGAGCATAAATAATACTGGTGAGCTGGCATGGGCAATGGGGAGGGACAGGACAGTGACCTCAGAGAGCCACTGGGGTCATGGGGACACACAGGATAGAGAATGCTGGGGCACAGGGACACATGGGACCATGGAGGTACACAGACACAACCAACCATGGGGGACACAGGATGCTTAGTGACACTAAGAAACGGGGCTGGGTTTAGGGGCTGCTCTGGAGACTGCCCAAGAGGCTTCCTCCTCCAACACTCCAGCCCTGGGCTTGCAGGCAGGACACACTGAGGCAGGGGCACTTCCCCCACAGAGTCAAGCAGGGGTCCTCAGGGCAGGATCTGGCAGGAGACAGGCGGGCCCTGCCCCATAGAAGGGGCTGTGGGTCTAGGGCTGAACTGTGCCTTCAGGGTCCTTGTCATAGATGTAGCTGCCCACGCCCCCGGTATTCACTCCTGTAGAGAGAGATGGCTGGGGTGGCAGAGCAGGAGCAGGCAGGGTTCTGGGGAGGAGATGAGGTCCCCACTGCCCACCCTCAACCCCCAAGCCCTGGCCCCACTCACCCTTGGGTCCAAAGAGAATTCCGTAACAAGGCTTGTGGCAATAGGGCTGCCCGTCGTGCTGTAGAAAGTGATGGGGGATGTGCTGAGCACAGACCCTCTTTCCCCATCCCCCATGATGGTGAGATCATCGTGTCCTTTGGGTCTTCCTCCCAGAGAGCCCTCTGGTTCCCAAAGCCACCTTCAGGCCCATTCACCTTGGGTAGGGAGACAGCACAGCCCCAGCAAGCACAGTACCTGTGAGTCTGCACTCAGGCCACCAGGCGGCAGCCCTCAAAGCCTGGCTCAGCCCACCAGGGCCTGTCCGAGGCTCCACGTGCTCCCGGCTCCCTCCCCATTGCCCCATTGGGCCCAGCCTAGCCCCAGGCCCCTTACCTCCGCGTGCCCTCCAGGGGTCAGCGTTTTGGAGCAGCGCTCACAACGCAGGCAGGGCCGGTGCCAATCCTTGCCCAGAGATGTTACCTTCTCAGCTGGGAGGGAAGAGAATGGTGAAGCCTGGTCCAGAGGCATAGGCTCCGAAAGGCTGAGGCTGGCCAGTCACTCACCAAAGTAGACCCTCTTGTTGCAGCGAGGACACATGTTGGGCTCTCCGGTGAATGTGGTGACACTGGAGGCTGGAGGGTGCAGGGGTGGGGCTAGGTCAGGGCAGACCTTGGCCACCTCCCCACACTCTCACCCTCCACTCAGAACCCAGCCCACCTTTGCTGGGTCCCTTGGGAGGACCACTGGCCTTTCGCTCCTCAGCTCGGGCCACTGGAACCTCGATGGGGCCAGTGACCTGGGGACTCTCAGCTGGGGGTTTCTCATAGATGTAGGAGCCAGCACCCCCAATATTCACTCCTGAGGGCAGCAGGCAAGTCATCAGTCTTCCAATTGCCTCAAACCTACCCAGCTCACACACCAGCTTCTCTTAGAAGACAGTCCTCCCAGCCCTCCCAGTGGCCGGCAGGAGGAGCGGGAACCCCCAGCCCTCCCCAGGAGCATCTGCCTAAGCCGCACTCACCTTTGGGTCCAAACAGTGTGGCATAACAGGGCTTGTGACAGAAGGGCTTCCCATCGTGCTAGGCAGAGAAGTGGTGTTGAGTGATGCCAAGGACCCCCACCCATCCCAGCCCCCACCCCCATCCCTGGCCCAGACCACACTCACCTCGGCATGGCCCCCGGGGTCAGCGTCTTGTTGCAGCGCTCGCACTTGAGGCAGAACTTGTGCCAGTCCTTGCCCAGGGAGCTTACCTTCTCAGCTGTGGGAAGGTGGAAGGGGTCAGGGCAGTGCACCTACCCCTTTCCTCAGCAATCCCACAGCTGCTGCACCCCACCCCTCCCCTTCACCCCCAGACCTGGAAGCCACAACACTCCCCAGTACTGCTGCCTTCCACTGAGCAGGGGCTCCAAGCTGAGTCCCACTTCCTTCACATCCTTCTTAGGGAAATCCCCTCAGCCTCAGGCCAAATCAGGACCCAGCTCTCTGGAGGGACTCCCTCATCAATCTGTGATTCGAGCTCAGGCACATGTTAACCCCTTAACGTCTACTGTGATTGCACCTGTTTCCACTTGCTCCTCCCTCACCCTGACATCTGCTCCATCTGCCTCCCCCTCACCAGCCCCATAGACTCACCACACATCCTTCACACATACTCCTGACCACCCCCCACCACAGGGCCTAGTGGAGCTGAGGGAGCTACCCTAGACTTCCAGCACCAGCTGTGAGTCCAGGCAAGACTCCTATTTGACCTCTTTATCCTAAGCCTTGAGACCTCCTTCTACCTTGCTGCCTCCAGCTGCTACTTTGGCGTCAAAGGTTTGAGACCAGCTGCTGAGGATCGGGTGCCCTGCTACCTCCACCCCCAGTGCTAGGGCTGCTGAGCCACCTCCCAGTGGACGGAAGTGGGGGCCTCCCAATGGACGGAAGCCTAGGCTTCCCCAAGGGAGTGAGGCAGGAAAAGGGTGGAGAAGAGGGCAGGAAGAAGGGCCAGACAAAGCTGGAATTCCAAAGGGAAGGGGCCAAGCTGAAGGCATGGGGGAGGAGTGCTAGGCTCCAGTGACCCTGTGGATGGCAGAAATGGCAGAATCTGCTGAGGACCAATGACTCTTCAGGCTCCCTTCTCAGAGTTGTGCAGCGCATTGCTTTGACATCAGGCTCCCCTGGACAACCCTGGCAAACGGCAAGGAGGGTAACCTACCCTGAGAAGCTTGAGGGTGCTTGCTCCGGGGTAATGCACCTGCATCCTCTAGGTGGCCAAAGTACAGAGCCAGAGTGCTGGCTCTCCATGGCCCTGGCAGAACCTGCTGGGCATGGCCGGGCCAGGGTATCCCCCCGGGGGAGCCCTTATACCTTCACCTCTACCTCCACCTCCTCCCACTGAGCTCCCTCTAGGATACATGTTGGCCAGGACCCTGCTATGTCCAAGCCAGGGGAGGCAGGAGCTAGCTGGACAGGAGACAGGCTTGGCTCCCATAGCAGCCTGGCATCCTCCTAGCACTTCGATAAGGAGGTTGTCCGGATGGCCATCGGTGACCGTGGCAGCTGCAACTCAGGGCTGCCAGAACCACACTGCTCTGGGACTGGGGCCATGAGGGGGGCAGGAAACTGACCCTCAGACTCACTGGCTGGGTCGATGACCGCTTTACAGGCCAGAGTTGGGAACACAGAATCGATTGGGTCTAATAGCTTAGAAAGGAGCAGGTTCCCCACTTAGCTCCATGTGCTCTGGAGTACACAGAGGCACAGTGTCCTGAGGTCTCCTGGAACATCCTGGCCAGCGTCTACCCAGGTGTAGACTGGCTGGTGGAGTAGACAGGATTCTGGACCCCCGACAGTGCCTCCCCACAGGACAGAAGCCAGATGACTGAGGCGCCTTTGTTTCTGCTGAGAGTCTGCAACAGCGGTGGCAGTGACAGCGGTGGCGCCCAAGCAGGCAGAGCGTTTTTGCTGGTTGCCTGTTGGCCAAGGCCCTGGGACAGCCCAGAGCTGGCCTGCCTGGGGCAAAGTCATGGGCAGGGGTACTGCACGGAGACCCTGGGGACTGTCCCCCTGCTCTGAGACTTGCCAAAGAAGCCCTGTCTAGGACAGAGATTGAGGTTGGGCAGGCCTCTGAGGAGGCAGCAGGAAGCCCCTGGCTCCAAGCCACCCAGAAGCACTCCAGGCCAAATCCGGTTCCTCCCCTCTGGGAACAGCAAACAACAAAGTGGCCTCTCCTCTCCTCTCTTCCCTCCAGTCAGAGGGGAAGCCCAGTGGCCTTCTGAAATCCTGTAACTAGGATGGACTAGGGAAGGGACTTTGTCTCCAAGCCTCTCTGCCATCCTCAATTCTGGCCCTAAGTCTGCCCTGTCAGTGGGCAAGGAAGTTGCTACCCTGGCAAGGTGGCTCAAGCAGGAAGGACAGAGCAGTGGGGTGCAGACCAGGGACACTGCTGAGCAGGCCTGAGGGTCAGGTGGCTGCCAGGTGAAGGGAATTCCTGGGGGTGGGGGGTGAGACCAATTCTTCCAGCCCAGTACTGTCTCTTTCACTGGTTGCCCTTACCTCCAAGAGGCAAGTGTCTTGGCCACCCGGTACATTTTCAAGCTCATGGGGACCTGCCTGTTACCCCACCCCAACCCGTGCGAAACTTTGGGAGCAACTAGCCAAGGAAGGGAGCGCGCTGGGACACGCGGGAGGCAGAGGCCAAGATCGCCCCCGCTTGGACTGAGTCCCGACGGAACCCAGATTTGAACCTGCGGTCCCGCTCCGTCTTAATTCTGACCAGCCCAGACCGTCGGAATGAGGGCTGGGGTCACTGCTCGGGGCCACGCCAGAGGTGCCATGTGCTGTCGGGGCAAGCGGGACCAGGGTTCGGCGTAAACAGGTCCGAAGGAAGCTTGCGGGACGAGTCCCGGGCGTGCGGCCACGCCCGATCCCACCCCAAGCGGCGCCGCGGGAGAAAGGCGATGCATCCACATTCCGGAGCGTGCTCCAAGCCTCGACCTCACGGGGAGGTCGCGCACCCCACCCGCCGCCCGCCCGCCCCAGCCGGCCGCTTCGGGCGAGACCCGGCGTGGCTACCCCAGCCTGGCTCGCCCCACCCTCCGGCCGCATCCGCATGGGCAGCATGGCGAGCCGGGCTCCGGGCCCGGCACCCCGACCCGGGTACATCGCCGGGGGCGGCTCTGCGGCAGGAGGCTGGCGGGCGGGTACTTACCGAAGTACACAGTCTTGTCGCACTTGGGACACTTGGAAGCCATGGTCGGTGCTCCCGGTAAGTCCGCACCCTCCGCCCGCGCTCGTCCCCGCGTCGTCGCCCGCGTCAGTCCCGCCCGTCCCCCGCCCGTCCCCCGCCCGTCCCCCGCCCGCCTCTCGCCGTCCATTGGTCCTGCGGCAGAGGCGGGGCTTCGGGAGCCCGCCCCCCCGAAGACGCGGGCTGCCGGGGGCGTCTAGGGCGGGGCGCACCTGCCAGGGACTACAAGACCTGCCTGGCACCCCTCACCCGTGAGCGAGGCGGCTGGCACAGGGCCCTCCCAGGGTTTCCATGGCAATGTCCGGGTTCCTAGCTGGCGCATTCCCCCAGCGAGCTGGCCTGGGGTCCCCGACTCCGGCCCACGGCGCCCCGGCCGGCTCGCGGCGGGAGGGGGCGCGAGCTGCTCGCGGACCCACCCCCTCCCACCCCACGGCGCCGCCTCCCTTTGTTGCCCGGTTTCCATAGCAACGGCAGCAAAAGGCGTCGGATTCCGGGCGGGGAGCCGCGGTCCTGTCTGTGGTGCTGAAGGCGGGGCGGGCGGGGCTCTCCAGGAGTCGCCGCCACTTCCAAAAACAGCGCGAGAAACCGCTGGAATGGGTGAGAGGCGGGGAAGGGGCGACTGAGGGAGCCACGGGTGCACTTGCGCGCTAAGGCCTCTCTCCATGCACTGCTACCCCAGAAGGAATAGGACACTTGCGCATGCCCTCCGCGCCAGGTGCTGCAGACGCTGACACACCCATCTGAGCACTCCCAAAGCCTAGGAATCCTGCCAGCATCCCTCCGTGGCCCAGGGCCTATGACTTTGTCTTCTGGCCCCAAATCATCCTGTAGGGCCCACCTGCCAGCTCTCAGGAACCCCCTTCCGTCTACCAACCCTCCTTGCCCCGTGTCCGTCCTACCTGGAGCCTGTCCTGTCAGCAGGATCTGGCCCCAGGAGGGTGGACCTTGGGATCCACAGTACTTGGATCTGCAGGACAGACACCACCTGCTGCTTCAAGCCCGGTTGATCAGACCTAGCCTAGGCAGGTGACTCAAGACACTTCTTCCTCATCTTCCCTCACTCCCCCCACGTGTCTTTCCTGCTCTGTGCTGGACACCAACATCATCTTCATCTTGTCTGGAGAACCTGTTTAGCCCAAGGAGTGGGGCCAAGTGGCCTCCATCACCCGCCCCCCCCAGGTCCCTGGTTCCAGGCATGTTGGCGAACCCTCTGGAACAAGTGCTCATGGGGCCTCCCTCCGCCTTACACACACATCCCGCAGCCACTGCCATCTCCTTGGCAACAACAGACCAGAAACATGTGCCTCCCCCCACCTCCAGCCTGACTGACCAGCCTGACCAGCTCCCCCTGGGCCAGCTCCCCCTGGGCGCTTCTGGATGTGTGCCAGCCAAGGCGGGAAACCGGCAGGGACTCAGCCAGTGCCTTCTTGGGCAGGGTCCCTTCGTTCCTAGCTGGCTCCTTGCCTAGGCTGCATTCATAGGCTCCTGCCCGCCCCCCAACTTGCCCATTACTGTGCCCTCTCTAGTTCCCTTCCTACCTTGGGAGCCCTGGGCACCACCCTCCCCACGTACTAGCAGGACTGCTTTAGAGGATGGCTCGCTGGGCACAGTCTTCTGGAAGGAGAGGGACTTTAAGGGCTTCCAGCTTTGTCTGAAGAATGGATAGGGGTTGGGGCCCCTCAAAAGGTTGGCAGTAAAGGAATGGCACTCAGCACTGGCCAGGTGCCCAGGAGAGGGATGGAGAGGGGCAGGAGAGTCCAGCTGCAAGTCCCTGGGTCCAGGCAGAAGCTATTCTGAGGAAGTGGCATGGTCAGTGGAGGCAGAGCAGTGAGTGGCCTTGGGGTCCATGAGTAGCCATGGACATGGCCACAGAAGGCAACAGGCTAGAGCACTGGGCAGGTCAGGATGGGCAGGTTGGGAGGTACCTGGGCTGGGTGGAGTTTGGCAGGGGCCTGGGTGGCCAGGCCAGATGTTCAGGCTGAGGGCAGGGCCCTCCCCTAGGGTCCTAGAAACATAGTGTCTGTAGTTCTGCCCTCTGCCACACAATCACAGGCAGGACCTGGTCCCAGCTTTGCTGCGGGGGAATCTGGGGTGGACTGGGTAGTGAACTATGAGGCCTAGGCTGAGTAGTTTTGAAATACAGCCTTAGGGGTGTGTGCAAGCTGTCACGTTCCCCAGGGCATGATCACCAGGTCACCCTGGGATGGCCCCTACCCCTCTGGGGCTCCAGGCTGTTTTCCCTACCAGCAGGGCTTTGGGAGAATGGACCAAAGCAGGGGAAACCATCCCTGGGGCCTTGCTCACTCCTGCTCATGTCCACTTCCCACTCCTAAGTTCTGGCTGAGATCCTCAAGAAAGTGGAAATGGACACACAGCCCACCAGGCCAGCCCAGACAGCCAGAGTCTATCCCTGTAATGGGCTTTGCAGCTGGGTTGTTGGGGAGGGTACAGACCCCAGATGGGAGTAGGGACCCAGCTGTCTCCTCACAGCCCTCTCACCCGAGACAGAGCTCTCATCCAGGACTTGGGGACATCTCACTGCCCACACTTACCAGAAAAGGAGAGTCTTCAGAGGAAGACCCTGTGCTTAAGGAGACAAAGGGTAGTGGGGCACAGAGGATTAGGAGTTTCACTCAACGGCTTGAACTGATCTGGAGCCTCCTCTTCTTCCTCCAGAACCTCCAGGGTTGGAAAAGGCATCCAAGGAGGCCCCTAAGGATCTGACAGTCCTTGGTCAGTGGGGGACACAAAGTGGGGGCAGACTACAGACCAGGATCAGCAGGAGTGACCCAATGACCCTGGGAGGAGGATGTGGTATATCTTGCAGCCTTGTCCCTGACACCCAAGGCCTGTCACCCTGTTGGGCCCCATCACAGGCTCACAGAGGGAGGCCAGGACACCCAGATACCCCCGTATCTGTCCCCAGGGTGGGAGCAGAAGTGGTTTCTATTTTAATTTCCAGACTGAGATTTCCACACATCACAGGCGCCTGGGTGGGGGAGGGAAGAGGCAGAGCCCATTGCTCCAAGGGAGGGGCTGGCTGACCCCTCTCCTGGCTAGCTGAGGGAACACTGCCTGAGGGGTGGTCCCCAGAGCCAGGGCTCCTCCCTCTGGTGGCTGGCCAGGCCTGCACCTGTCCCTCAGTCTGCAAGGGTGGGTGCAGGGTACGGGCCAAGATAGGATTTCTAAAGCAGGGACTCACTGAAATCTGAGCAAATTCCTACTCAGGAAAAGCACACCTGCTAGGGGTGGCATGGCTCTGGGCAGAAAGCCTCAGACAGCTGGGGTAGGGCCTGGACCCTGAGCTAACCCAGGTGACCCTTGGTGGGAGAGGAGCTGTGGGGCCTTAGGCAGGGTCTCCCCATGCAGCACTGGAGCAGTCCCCGCTATAGATGCTGTCTTGGCACAGCTCCACTTAAGACCAGCCCCAGGAGGAACGGCAGTGGGCACTGGGCCAGGGCTATGCAGGAGCAGGTCTCAGAGGGAATGGCGGAGTCCAGAATGGCTGTGAGGCCATATAAAGCTCAAGCTTCTCACAAACCCCAGCTGTTCCAGGACAGAGTCACCAGTCTAGGACCACCCACAGCCATTGCCCGTCATCCTGGGCCTGGCTCCTGGGGCCAACAGTGGGGAGGTGATCTGGGCCACCACCTTCAAGGGAGGACCTGGGGTCCTCCAAGGTGTTGGGGGCAGGGTCTCTCCTGAGACTAGAAGAGAGACTGGGAACAAAGGACACAGGATAGGGTCGGCTGGGTTTTTTCCTTTTTATGAGATTTTTTTTCTTTTGTTTTTGTTTAATATGAAAATTACTTGAAAAGACAAGGGGCCAACCCCGCCAGGCAGCTCGGCCGCCACTGGCCGCACCGATCCTAACATTCCAGGTGTAAGTTACAGAGCTCAAATTCATCTACAAAAAAAGTAATAAAAATAAAATTTAAAATGGCACCTTCAACAGAACACAACAAAACCTTAGGGCCGACCCCGGGCGAGAGGCCCCACAGTGCAGGGCATGGGGCGGTTCCTCAGCTCTCCTCCAGCCAAAAAAGTAAACACAAAGCTAAAAACGACTCCTCGGCATCTCGGAATAAGTTAAACCGCACTTTTCCCCCACGTGTCCACCGAAGGAGCGTTTCTCTGCAAGTGAGGGCGGGAGGTGGGGCACTACCGAAACAGAGGGTGGGGTGGGCAGCAGTCTGGTGGGGGAAGGAGGCCACCTGGCCTGTGCAGGCCTCAAGGGACACTCTGGGGCTGACGGAGGGGCCTGGGCAGGCCACAGAGCAGTGACTGCCTAGTCCTCGATGACAATGGGCTCGTCATTGACTGGCGCAGGCGGGGGTGGCCGCAGCGGCAGGGCCTGGCTCTGGCGCAGGGCAATGGGCTTGTAGGGCCGGCGGGCAGCACGCTTGGTTTCCGAGGAGGACAGCAGCTTGCGGATCTTCCTGTGAGCGAGAAGAGGCAGGCTGGTGAGGGTCCGACCTCACTGGCCGTGTCCCCTTCCCCTGTCCCCAGGAGGGCCCCACCTGGTCTCCTCAGTGGCCATGTAAAACACATCATCTGGGGCATCGATCCAGTTCATCCGCCGCCGCTTGACGGGGGGCAGAGAGCCCCCCCGGATCAGGCGCACTTTGGTGGGGTATGACTTCCCGTTGAGCAGGAGGTTCCGACTTGGTCCCTGTGGCACAGAAGAGGTATGAACAAAAGGAGCACAACACAGTACACTGGTTTCCCTATTTACATTATATTACAACCCACAACCCAGGAGCAGTTTTCCAGACAGTCAGGCCCTAGGTTGAGTCCTGCTTCCACCTGCACAAGGCTCCTGGGGCACACAGCTTCACAGGTGTCACAGCCAGTAGGGAGCCCTGTGAGGGGGAGGTTCAGGCCCAAAGGTGAAGGACCTGGCTGGACCTCCTGGATGCTCCCCAAGGCACATGGCAGGCTTTGTGGGCAGCCTCCCAAACACTTAAGAGTGCTGTGCATATGTGCTGTGTGTGCCATATTACTGGC